TTCTCAGTCCTCCCTGACGGATCACTTGCCACTCTCTAACTGCAGCTGTGAGGTCACATGACCCAGAGTGGAGCGGTCCCTGAAAAAAACATAGAAAGTCATTGAAAAAACTCTTCCTACCACCACACCTTTTAAGATATACACATACATATTAATATCAAAACGTAGACATTTTTGTCATATTTCCAAAAGTATTTCTGATTTGGCTGTAAACATAATGGTTTTCTCATGAGGTGCTTCAGAATGCAGAGTGGCCCTCTTGTAAAGTATTAATAAAGGTTGCATCAATGAGTGCAAACGTTTCACTCCTATCTAACAAAGTAAAGTTAGGTCCTCTGGACGGATTCTTCTTGCTGAAATGTTTTGTGTTTTATCGAAAAGACTTCTTCATTCTGAGGAGTAAATAGCACCTTCTCATAGTGGATCAACCAGTTTGTTGACATCCAGAACTAGCTGTTCACATGATAAAAGAGGACCATCAGCCTAACATTTGGTCGTTAGTGCCCTGATGGCTATTCACAGGGAGCTGTGATACTAGCAATAACATCACTGTAAGAGGGGGATAGTCGAACACGAAGGCCTCCACCCCTGTTTAATGATGGAAGGATTCTCTTCACAAAGATGGCTTCCTTTACTCTCTCAAACCATTGTTCCTCTCTATCAAGGATGTGCACACCTTCATCTCTGAAAGAGTGACCACTGGTCTGCACAGTGTAGACTGCAAAGTCCTGGCCTGATAATGTTGATCTTCTGTGCTGGTCCATCCTTTTGGCCAGTGGCTACTGTTTCCTTGATGTTTGACTGATCACAGCCCTCCTGACACTGAACAGCATATACTTTATAAACCCTTCCCACACTCGTGCAATGTTCTAAACTCCTAAACCAATGCAATTTTAACAACATACGTATATGTACTGTACTGTACTGAAAAATTTTACTCACCAGCTCTGCAGAACAACAGCAGCTTGGTTTCGGTTGGTCGGTCGGGCTTGATTCCAGTTCTGCAGACCAACCCTGCAGCAACAAGGCCCACAATGTTCTAAACTCTTAAACCTTTGTAATTTTAACAACATATGTAGAGTATATGTACTGCACAGTACTGCCATAATTTACTCACCAGCTCTGTAGATCACAGTGGCTCGGTTCTGGTCCGGCTCGGCAGACTTACCCTGCAGGACTTACCCTGCCAGTTCTGGTCAGTTCTCTACAGCCCTTGAGCACCAAAACACTTTTGGAGGGAGCTGGACTTTCAAATGGCCATCACAGGACCAGACTGTGGTCTGATTGGGTCAAAATCGGGATTAAAAAAGTCCCGGTGTGTTGCCGAGAGAATGCCGGACTCCAGGTGGCGCTGCTCGGAAGGCCTCACGGGCTGGCCGGCGGCACTCAGATACATTGATGATTCTGGAGATCCGATTCTGGTAGGCTCTACAGCCCTTGAGCACCAAAATGCTTTTGGAGGGAGCCGGACCTTTGGATGGCCAGCACGAGACCAGACGGTGGTCCGATCAAGTCTAAATCTGGATGAAAAAAGTTCCGGTTGGCTCTGGAGAGAACGCCAGACCTCCGAGCGGCGTCTCCCAACTCGGAAGTTCTTGTGGGCCAGCGGGTGGCACTCAGATTCACCAATGAGTCTGGAGGTCCGGTTCTGTTCTGGTTTTGTGTGGCTCTCTGCAATCCTTGAACACCAAAACGCATGAGGGAGCGAGACCTTTAGATGGCCAGCATGGGTCGTGACCATGAGTCCAAATCTGGAAGGTGTAATTCTGGTGGGTTCCGGAGAGAATGCCAGAACTCCGGGCGGTGGCTCCCTGCTTGGGAGGCCTTGTGAGATGGTGACCAGCACTCAGATTGACTGATGAGTCTGGAGGTCCGGTTCTGGTCCAGTTCCCAGTTGGTTCCATGCAGCTCTCTGCATCTGCTGGGCTCCAAAGTCACTATGAATAAGAACCAAATTTTTAGGATTGGATCAAAAATTTCCCTCCATTTCAGCAGAAAGCAACGGTTGGAAGCACTGTTGGGGCCTCTGGGCAGGGCACTGTTGACTTGTAGTATGTAGTCATTTTGAGTGGCTTTACAGTATAGGCTTATTGAGAGAAAATTACAAAATGGCAGCACCTGTCCAAAGTATATTTTTGTTAACTTTTTCTTGTATCCCCTACTGTCCAAATCTCGTGAGTAATATTAAAGTTGACAATCATGTGTCGTGTATAATTTTTTTTTCTCGTGTACAATCTTACTTAGAAAAACCAAGAAAGAGCGAGTCCGCAAAAGTTAGACCGCCAAGTAGCGAGAGACTACTGCTGTTTGTGCCAGGGAACTGGATCTTTGGGGTGGACCAGTCTCTGCCATAATGTATTTTGGGGTTTGAAAAACACTGGGACATCATGTTTAGAAAATAAACGTCTCAATTTCTCTGAAACTCCCTCAACATACGGAATGACCACTGGTCTGGGTCTGGGTTCCTCCTTTTCACCTGATGGCTGACTGGAGTCCTGTTTGGGTTTCTTCTCTGCTTTCAGGAAGGCCCAGTTAGGATATCCACATCGCTCTAGAGCAGGGGTGGGCAATTATTTTTTCCATGGGGCCACATGAAAAACAACAAATATTGTGGAGGGCTGGCACAAATGACTTTTTCATTCAACCTTTATTTAGACAGGTAAATCCCATTGAGCCTCGAGGACTCGTATACAAGAGAGACCTGATTTCAACTTAACTCAATACTGCATAATAATAGTATTTCATTATTAAACGCAGTACATAGCACTGTTTTAACAAGCTGGTAAGATTATTTGTTATGATTAAGCAACGAAAAAGCGAGGTTTCCTTACAAAAAATGTCATTTATTCAATTAAATTCCCCAGTACAATGGTAAACTGTTAACATTTTTACCATTTGTGACGTTATATTAATGATCATTTTCAGTCACATTCACCCCAAAACTCATTTTGAGTTTTATATACTGCTGGAAAAAGTTCTTATCTTTCTAAATATATCACAATATTGTCTTTGTACTCCAAATATTATGAAACATCATATAATAGTGATCGTCTCTGAACTGTGATTTCGAGTCCCGGTTCTTTACGTGCCTACATTTGTAGTCTAAACACATCTCATTTGGTGTTTATCAGTTCTTTTTTCTTGTTTAGTGAGAGAAGTTTAGTCTCTGTTGGGCTTTAACGGAAATGTTAAAGTCAGGTTGAAGGTCTGAGGTGGAGATGTGAAGCAAAGCTGACATCATCAGTGAGAGAAGATCTATATCTGGATTTGGTTAACTTCATTTGTTTACATATGTATTTTGTAATTCCCCTTACGGGGGCCGGTCACAGTCAACCAAAGGGCCGCATTTGGCCCTGGGGCCGTACAACGCCCAGGTCTGCTCTAGAGCCTGTCTTGTGTGGGATTTCTCCTTCTGCCCGGCTCCTGAGTTAGTGGGTTGAGCTTGCGCTCCAGAGGGTGATGGAAGTCAAACCACAAATACTGGTCTGTGTGGGTGGGTTTGCGGTACACCTCAGTTTGCAAATGTCCTCTATCAGAAACTGAGACCTCACAGTCCAAGAAAGCCAATTTGCCATCTTTTAAATTTTCTTGTGTGAACTTGATGTATTTATCCACAGAGTTGATGTGATCAGTAAAATGTTGGACTTCCTGAGATTTGATTTTAACCCAGGTGTCGTCAACATACCTGAACCAATGACTTGGTGGTGTCCCTGAAAAGGACGTCAAGGCTCTTTTCTACCTCCTCCATGTACAGGTTGGCAACAATAGGAGAAACTGGAGACCCCATAGCACACCCATGTTTCTGCCTATAATATTGCTCCCCATATGTGAAGTAGGTTGACTAATATAACATAGAAATACCATATAAACTTAGATTGTCTCTCTGTTGGCCTTATATCTCATGCAACTTGTTGGATTTGTTTGAAACTCACAGAAAGCACTCATCAGATGTATCTCTAGAACTGATTAATGTTTTGAGCCATTTTGATTCAAGATGGCTGCCACAGCTAGCTCAGCAAACACAAAATTGACTATAACTTGGCCATTCTTTGAGATATTGAGCTGAAATTTAGTATGGTTGTAGCTGAGAGCGAGTTGTTATACATTCTTAATGCAAATCAAATATCCAAGATGGCACCTTAGCTAAAAGGGAAAAATTAAATCTCTGCTGTTTTTAGAGCTATTCAGCTGAAATTTGGTATATTGGGAGCTGAGATCGATCCCTAATAAATTCTGACTTCAAATCAACAATCCAAGATGGCCACCTGAGTTAAAAAGGAAAAATCCTATAAATCAGCCGTTTTTAGAGGTATTCAGCTGGAATTTGTTGTATCGATAGCTGAAAGCAATATTAAATATTGAATTCAAATTTAAAAATCAAGATGTCACCAATGCCACATTTACTGGCTTGAACTCAGCCAGTTTTACACATACAGAACTGAAATTTGGTGTGCTTGCTCTGTGAATGTTCAGCATTATAAGGAACATTTGTTCCCCGTCATGCTGCCCATTCTTCCCCGTTCCAAGAACGTTCCCCATCACATACTGAACCCAAATCAAAATCCAAGATAGCCACCAAAGTTTAAAAGAAAAATGACTAGAGCTCATTGATTTTTGGCATATTGAGCTGAAATTTGGTATAGTGGAGCTGAGAGCGAACCCCAACACAGACTGTCAAATCTAAATTTTATTTGGCAGCAGAATGGCAGTCCCCATCAAAGTTTCTTCAGGAACTTTATAGTTCATTAACTATTATTACTCAGTAAAGTACTTGTACTTGGTCTGAAAATAACTCGAATCGTGACACCCATGAGATTCTGCAGAAGAGCCCCAAAATAATAATAATAAAAAAAAAAAAAAAAACGTCAATTCATTTACACTCTTCAGCTGTTTGATGAAATTTAAAATAAAGATGAAGTCAGGGAGCCGGGAGAGATCGAGTGGGCGGAGACTCAAACGGACGCCCCGCCCACTCCCTGCGGGCTGCCAGGTACACAGAGTGGGTGTGAGTGTGTGTGTGAGTGTGTATGAAGTGTAAAAGCGAACGTCGCAGGAGATGAGCCCATTCCTGCCAGCACGGACACGACACGTCGAGCAGTGACACGCACCGAGCTCCAGCTGTCCTCCTCCAGCCTGGACTCCGTCAGGTGACCCAGCACCTCCATCATGTCTTCCTCTTTGATGAAACCCAAGAAGTCCAAGACCACCACTTTGACGGACTCCAAACCCACAGGGTGAGTTCTTCAGATGGTTTTTACGCCTGGCTCTTTCAAACACGATCAAACTAATTAATGCTGTGAGCCTCGCTCGTGCTGCTTTAGCTGGTTAGTTATAGAAGACTGGTTAAATGTGGCTGGTTAGTTATAG